AAACTCCATAATTTCCATTGTCCTATCATCAAGTTCATGGATTCTTTCTTCTTCTTGTTCAAATCTGCCTTTAAATCCCTCCAGTGCATTTTTCATTTCAGTTATTGTACTTTTTCAGCTCCAGGTTTTCTTTTTGATTTGTTTTCAGGTTTTCTATCTGTTTGATATTTCCATTTTGTTCACACATTGTTTTCTTGACTTTCTCCACGTCTTCCTTTATTTCCTTGAGCACCTCTAAGGCAGTTGTTTTAAAGTCTTTGGTATATCTCCTATTAAGGTCCTTTCCAGGGACAGTTTTGGTTGATTTATTTTTTTTCCTTTGAATGGGCCATAATTTCCTGTTTTTTTTATATGCCTTGTGATGTTTTGTGGAACACTGGACATTTAAATCTAATAGTGTGGTAACTCTGGAAATCAGATTGTCTTCCTTCCCCAGGGTTTGGATTTTTTTGTTATTTATTTATTTATTTTTTGATTACTGTAGGCTATCTTTGTGCTGAGGATCAGCCTGAGGTGTAAACTTAAGGTCTTCTCAGGTCTTTTCTGAGCCTTTCCTGGGGCATGCATGGTCATTTTCTAATTTTTCCTGTATATGCAGTTGTTTTTGAATTTTCTAGTCTTTAATGTCTGGCTCCTGAAAGGGGAAAAAGTGAAAAATGAAGGGGAGAAGAAGGATGGTGGCTTTTTCAATTCCCTGGAAGTCACTTAAGACAGTTGGATAAGGGCTTGGAACAGTGGGGGGAGGTACAACAACAGTGACTGCCTACCTCTTTGTCTGCACCTCTGTGATCAGAAGCAGCAATAAGAGCAGAGCTTCTTGATGTTTGGAAGACAGATGCCTTTTTCCTCTGCTGGCTCCCCAAGCTGTGTGCAAGCTGCCCCAAGAACACATACACAGCTGCCTGCCAGGGCGTGGGGAAGGAGTAGCTGCTACTGTGCTAAGAGCTGAAACTGACCACAATTAGTGACACTTTATTGTCCAAGTCTTCCCCCAGAAGTTTCAAGCCCTCCACAGACTCCCGAGGTCCAAAATAATTACATCAGGCAGATTCTATGGTGCAGTTGTTCAGATGGAGAGACACATTTCTTGGTGCTTCCTACACTGCCATCTTCCCAGAATCCTCTCAACATCCATTCTTGATTTAAATAATAACTGATAGCAAGCAAAACTGAATACTGTAAAGGTCTCACTTCTCATTTTCATCTGTAATTTTATTGTAATCCTAATCAAAATCTTGAAAGGTTTTATGTGAAACTTGAAAAGCTGGCTCCAGAATTTACATGGAAATGCTAAGGACCTAGATGTAGCCAGGGCAATCTTAAACAATGACAAGGTGGGAGGACTTGCCCTATTGGATATCAAAACTTACAAAACTACCACGTTTAAGACAGGGTGATACTGGCTTGAGGATAAAATGAATAGACCAGTAGAACAGAATAGAGAGGCTAAAATAGATTCAAACATATATGGACAAAATGGCAGAGGAATAAGGAAAGGATGATCTTTTTAATAAATGGTGGTGGGATCACTGAATATCCATTTGGGAAAAAGTGAAACATTTTATTCCTCACACCATACATAGAAATAATTTCTAGGTGGATTATAAACCTAATTGTGAAAAGCTAAACAACACAACTTTTAGAAGATAATATAGAAGAATATATATATATATGATCTCTCATTAGGAAAAGATTTCTTAAGCATGACTGAAGAAAACACCAATCCTTAGAATAAAGATTAATACCTTTGGTTAGTTAAAAATGAGAAATTCAGGTCTTTAAGACATTAAGTTAGTGAAAATAGAAGCTACAGTGAGAGAACAGATCTTTGCAATACCTAACTAAGGACCTGTATTCAGAATATATAAAGATGTCTGCAAATTAAGCAGAATTAAACAGTCCCATAAAAAATGGGCAGGACTTTTAGAGGCACTTCATAAAGAGGGATGTTGAATATCTCATTCATAATTAGGGAAATGCGAACTAAAGTCACAGCAAGATTCCACTACATGCCTGCTGGAATGGTTATAATTAGTATCCTCTGATAATATCAACTTGTGATAAATGGGAACTCTCATACACTGCTGATGGGAATATAAATTGATACAACCACTTTGGAAAATAGTTTGGAAATATTTACTAAAGTTGGTGATACACTTTCCCTGTTCTAGTAGTTTGACTCCAGAGTAACCAGCAGAACTGCATTGTACAAGAGTGTTTATGGCATTGTGATTCACAGTAGCTACAACCTTGAAACAACCCCAGATATCTAACAACAGTAGAATGAATAAACAATAGTATGAATAATCAGTGGAATAGTATACCACAGTAAAAATAAATTATGGGTATGTGCAACAGCATAGATGCCTTTTACAAATATAATGTTCAGTGGGAAAAAAAAGCTGGGCAAAAGAATACATCTCTGTGATTACATTTGTATAAATTCTAAAAGCTGACAAAATTAAGCTGTGATGTTTAGGGGTATGTTTTTTGGTATTAAAAAAGGAAAGCAGGGGGACTGGCCCCGTGGCTTGGCGGTTAAGTGCGTGCGCTCCGCTACTGGTGGCCCGGGGTCGGATCCCAGGCGCGCACTGACGCACCGCCTCTCCGGCCATGCTGAGGCTGTGTCCCACATACAGCAACTAGAAGGATGTGCAACTATGACGTACAACTATCTGCTGGGGGGCTTTGGAGGAAAAAAAAAAAGGAGGAGGATTGGCAATGGATGTTAGCTCAGAGCCGGTCTTCCTCAGCAAAATGAGGAGGATTAGCACGGATGTTAGCTCAGGGCTGATCTTCCTCACAAAAAAAAAAAAGGAAAGCAGGGAGGTGGCTATCATTTAAGTGATTCTCTTGTGGGAAGGGATTGTGATTGAGAAAGGGCATGCAAAGGCTTCTGGGGTCAATGGCTGTATTCCATTTCTTGACCTGTATAGTGAGTGTTCACATGATTGTATACTTATTAATTATATTAATATGTATTAAGCTGTAAATACATTGTTTCTGCACTTTATGGGTGTTACATTTTACCCATGGGTATATATATTATAGAAAGGTTTAAAACGCCTATAAAAATGGGAGAGAGAAGAGTATAGTATGCTGATGATTAGCATAGCAGTTTTCTGGGACTTCTGTGTCTAACACTGTTCATTTCTGGAGCAACTACTATGGACACTTCTAGGAGTGAAAGGCGGTAAGATACAGACAATTATAATTTTATTTATTTATTTTTCCCCCCAAAGCCCCAGTAGATAGTTGTATGTCATAGCTGCACATCCTTCTAGTTGCTGTATGTGGGACGCGGCCTCAGCATGGCCAGAGAAGTGGTACGTCAGTGTGCACCCGGGATCCGAACCCGGGCCACCAGTAGTGGATCATGCGCACTTAACCGCTAAGCCACGGGGCCGGCCCGATACAGACAATTAAAACAGAGTCCATCTCTAAGAGGTTACCGTTAATTTGACAAAAGAGATATGCGGTAAACATATAGATAGGAATTTTTTGTAATTTGAAGTGCCACAATAACGAAAGTGCCATAATCTTTTAAGTGTCATGAACAAAAGGTTTATTGAGAGCCCAGAAAACAGAGTGATAATGCTAGGGTACCTTGGGAAGGTAATATATATTAGGAGGCATTTGAATAGAAATAAGGGGATACCACTTCAAACCTTTTGAAATGGGTTTCTGTTCTTGGCTTCTGTGAATCTATGCTACTCTGTCTCTTCTCTTCATCTTGCCTCTGCTAGCTCCTTTTTTCTGGGTTTTGGGTGAAGGGTAGGAGGATCTCTAGTATATTGTGAAGGGGAAAAGAGAAGTGCTCTATCTTGGATCCCAGGCCGTGGAAAGGAATCAAATGGACAACGAGCTAATGGAGTGTGATGAATTGGTTTGTTGTTCTTGACCTTGTGGGGAGTCTGTCCATTTTCGTGGCTTCAGCTGTAGTCTCTGCCAATGATAGTCCTGATTTTTATTGCTTACCCTATTTGATTATGTTGCTGTCACATCAATCTTACACGTCCTAAACAGAACTGAACTTCTCAGTCAGCTCATTTTATGAACTCCCCTATTTATTGGAACCACTATTTTTCCATTTATCCATAGTTGAAACTATAGAGTTGTGTTTTTTTTTAAACAGTTTTATTTATTTATTTATTTATTTTGTGAGGAAGATCAGCCCTGAGCTAACATCCATGCTAATCCTCCTCTTTTTGCTGAGGAAGACTGACTCTGAGCTAAAATCTGTTGCCAATCCTCCTCCTTTTTTTTTTCCCCCCAAAGCCCCAGTAGATAGTTGTATGTCATAGTTGCACATCCTTCTAGTTGCTGTATGTGGGACGCGGCCTCAGCATGGCCGGAGAAGCAGTGCGTCGGTGCATGCCCGGGATCCGAACCTGGGCCGCCAGTAGCAGAGCGCGCGCACTTAACCGCTAAGCCACGGGGCCAGCCCGATAGAGTTGTTTTTGATTCCCTGTGAGAGATTAAGATGTTCCAAGACATTTTAAGAGATTTTCTTCTAAGTACTGTACTATGTATTTTGTAGCTATTATTTTCAAAAGAAAAAGACGAAAAGGGACTTTTACTTAATATAATCCTTAGCTTATGGACGCATAGAAAATCCTTGAAAGATGATTGAGAGAGGTCAAAGATAAAATGCTTGCTCTGAAGGCACTTTTGTTTTTGTAATAGAATTAATACGTATATAAAATAATTAGCCTCACTAGACAATAAAGTTTTTACCAAATGAGTGGTAGAGCCTCTGTAAATACCATCTTTATTGTGAGGGCATCCTTGGTTACCCCTTTTAAAATTGCAACACTCCTTCTTAAAATGCATACTCATACATACTCACTATATATACTACTTATTCCCATTCCTGCTTTTTCTTGTAAGCATTTATCACTATCCAGCATATTTTCCTTGTTTGTCTTGTTTATTGCCTGCCTTGCCCTCTTCCCCCCAGCTTACATGTAAGCTCCAGGAAGGCAGGGATTTTTGTCAGTTTTGTTCATTACTGTATCTGCAAAGTCTGATACATAGTAAACATTCAAATATTTGAATATGTGAATGAATACTAGGGTCTTTATGAATTATGTGATAAATGAGCTAGGTTATAAAAGTTGGCTAACAGAGACAGCTAAGTAATTGGCTCAGTCACTTTCTAGCTCTGAAGTTTTTTTCCTCTGTATTTTAATCTTTAAGCCTTTATTCAGCATTTTGTGGATATGCTCTGAATGATGTTACCCTTAGGAACCTTTTAGACAAAGTTGTAAAAAAGGCGTCTTAACGTTCAAAACAAATATACTTAGGAAATCAGGTAGCATTTTGGATTCTGCTTTGTTGTGAAAGATTAATTGAACTAAGTATGTGAATTAAGTGTGAATGCTACTCAGTCACATTTTATGTGACCTTAGGCAAAGATTTTGAATCTTCGGCTTAAACCAGCTACATCCTCTCTGAGGACTGACCACTAAAATACAAAATAACAGTGTTTGCTTCTCTGTGGCTGTTCTTTATGGGAATGGGCAATTTGCTTAAAAAATAAAGCCAGCAGCCTCTTAACCTAGATCCTCCATTTAATTTGGTTAGTTAATCAATGCATGTTTTCTTTTGTGTAGAACTTCTTGATAGTATGATTTCATCTCAGTTGGGTTTCATTGCTTTTCTGTTGATACATTGTTGCTCCATGGCTCAGTTGAGGCTATCTCTTGAATATAATTTGTCATCAGAAGGCAATGGTAACAGCTCAGTCTCTGGAGCCAGGTTGATTGAGTTTGATCCTGATTCTGCCTCTTACTCTTGGACTCCCCTGAACCTCAGCTTCTGCAAAATGGGAATAGTAATATCTCAAGGATTATCATGATCATTAAATGAGTTAAAACATATTAAGTGCTTAGAATAGGTATATAGTAAGAGTCAATAAAGATTTGTTGTTATTTGTAAAATTAGGAAGTGTAATATAGAATGATTATCTTGCTAAGGTAACAGAGAAGGCCTTTTCTGACCATGTTAAATGTAATAGCAACTCCTGTTAACTCTTCATTCCTTACCCTGCTATATTTTTCTATGTGGTACTTATCATTACTTAATATTATATGTTTATTAGTTGTTTTCTCCTACTAGATTATAAACTCTGTGAGGGCAAGAAGTTTGTTTTATTCATAGCTGTGTTCACTGTAGTGCCTAAAACAGTATCTGATTTATAATAGGTATTCAACAAATACTTGGTTAATAGATGAGTAAATTAAGGTGCATGAGGGCAACTAAAAGTTTTTTAGGGGGCATCTGTTTGATTGTTTTAATGAGTTACTGCTTTTTATGAGGGAGCATATTTTGTTTTGGCAGTGTGTCAGTGAACTTTTGTTGTCAAAGGCACTTAAAATCTTATCCTTCTTTTTGTTAAGCTATATGTGAAACAGAGCCTGAACAGCCTGTTCGACATTACCCGTTGTGGGTGAAAGTAGAAGGTGAAGTAGATCCAGAGCCAGTTTATATCCCAACGCCTTCTGTCATTGAGCCTATGAAACCATTGTTGTTGCCTCAGCCAGAAGTTTTATCTGCTACTGTGAAGGGCAAACTGCTCACTGGAATTAAACCTGCACGGGCATATACTCCCAAACCCAATCCTGTGGTAAGCCTGGAGTTGAATATTTTATTTCAGGTTACAAAAATCATTTGTAAAGATGATGGGTTTCAACCAGATTTTGGTTTATATTCTGTTTGCTTTCAGGCAGTATGCCTATAAGCCATCTCCCTTTCTGATTTAATCAGTTTAGTTGCTGGCACTTAAAAAATGTCATGAAAGTAGAGATGAATAGTAGTGATTCTTAAAGATAGCCAGATCTCTCTCGAGGACTGTTGTCTAAAGATGGAGGGGCCAGCCCCATGGCATAGCGATTAAGTGCCCGCGCTCCGCTGCTGGCAGCCCGGGTTCAGATCGCAGATGCGCACCGATGCATCACTTGTCAGGCCATGCTGTGGTGGTGTCCCATATAAAGTGGAGGAAGATGGGCACAGATGTTAGCTCAGGGCCATTCTTCTTCAGCAAAAAAAATAAAAGAGGGGGATTGGCATGGATGTTAGCTCAGGGCTGATCTTCCTCACCAAAAAAAAAAAAAAAAAGATGGACTTTTTTCCCATGACTTAATGAAGGTCTTTTAAATATTGAGTAATTAAGATGTAGTACATATTATTAATAGAAAAGCATTAAGAAAAAGCTTTTAAAAGTAACTGTCACCTTTTTAAAGTGAATTTATTTATATACAATAATAACAGTTAAAGGTCAAGATTTAAAATAACAGTTGTTATTATATGACTGAAGACGGATAGGTAAAAGAGCTGATACTTCTGTTGAGTTAATAGCTTAAGCATTTCTGATTTAAATCCATTTCAGTCTTCTCAGTCCATTAAATTGAAGAAAGATCCTTTAGTACAATGCTGTTCAGTCTGGTCTCTGTATCACTGCTGATCCAGAGTTGTTTATTAGCAGTCTGTGATGAAATAAGAATAGAAAATGAGAGTAAATATTCAGAAACTTTTACAGAAAGTGGATAGAGTAATTTTATATCTATTAAACTGAATACTAAAAAACTTGGGCTTGTGTTTTACATGTCTTTTGTTTTTCTAGTAATTTATTTTATTATATTTTACAAAAGTATGAGTCTGTGTTGGACTGGTAATTAAGAAATGTATCCTTCATCACAGATAATTGAGAAACGCTGCTCTGGTGTGATCTGAAATTTCTTGGTAGAGAACCAGATCCTGTCTGACTGCCCAAAGATTCACCACATATGAAGTGTACTTGTACTATTTAAAGTTTGCATTTAAAAATTTCAAGTGTTGCAATAGAAACAAAGATTAAACATGTTTTTCCTTTTGGAGTCTAAGAGATTTTTTTCTCCAATGTATGGAATGTTTTGTTGTATGAAACTTACAGATTCGAGAAGAAGACAAGGATCCAATCTATTTGTACTTTGAAAGTATGATGACTTGTGCCCGAGTTCGAGTATATGAACGAAAAAAAGAGGAACAGAGACAACCGTCACCATCCCCGTCCCCGTCATTTCAGCAGCAGGGCTCTTGTCATTCTAGTCCCGAGAACTGCAGTGTAAAGGTGAATTACTTGTTGCATAATTTCTCTTTTTAACTTCCAATTCCCTGTTACTGATATTAGAATTTGCATTACTATCAGAATAATTCAGAGTAATTCTTGTGGGGCAGAGAAGGCTTACATGATGTGTATATCAATTTATCTGTTTCTTTGTGTGCTTATTCTAGAGAACAGTCCCTTAGGATTATTAAAAGTATTATTCTTTCTGTTACTGGGGTAATTTTTAAAAGTATAAACATTTATGGTTTTAATTAAGTTATTTATGTTTATTAGGATTTGCATCTTGCCACGTTGGTGAATTTTCTAAATAACTGAAGGTTGTTCCATTAAACATCAAATGTCTTTCCTTCTTTACTAGAATATGCTATAAAGTGCAGTATAAATTCTTTTCTTGGTGACTCAGTCGCTATCAAGGACATTAGAGAGCAACTGCTTGTTTTTGCTAAGGGTAGTATGTGATAGTAACGCAACTGTGCATGGTGATGTGACGCTGTTGCTCTGTTAATCTTTTTACTGTTTCAGGCTTCTTTGAGAGATTTAATTCTTTTGGCCTAGCCTCTAGTGATAAATATGTGTTGAATTGAAGTATTTCTGTGTTATTTTCTTTTTTAGGAGCCTGATTCTGAACAGCAGCCCTTGAAACCAGTCACCTGTGACCTAGAGGATGATTCTGATAAATCACAAGGTCAGAATGAAAACTAGATCTTATTATTTGATAGTAATTATATAGGTGTGGATTATAATAATAATGGGGGGAGAACCAGAACTACCAATCCAGAATGTGTCTACCTAACCCTGTTTCTAGCTTCTGCTAAAAATAGAGATGGTAGATCTGTCTTTTCCTATAATTTGGTCTGTTATCACTCCTGTTTTAAGAGATAAAATTCATTTGTGTTGATATGGTATGTTGTTGCAAGAGACATTTAAGATGAGGTCAGTGATTTGTTTTTTTAAACCTCTTTCCAAACCTCGGCAACATTGGCATCATTAACAATTGAAATTGTCCCTCCGATTCTCAGTAGCTGTTGCTGTTGGAGAAATGCAGAGGGAGAAAGGAAGGAATATCATTGATTTATCTAGCCAAGGCTGCTGCCAGAATAGCTATGATGAGAGGTAGTGTCTAGGG